TGATTTTGTAAGTGATCATGAACATTGCCCTGTGGAATAACCCTCCTCTCTCTTGTCTCCCTCATACCAGCCATGAAGGTTTACAAAAGTAAGTGGAGGTTAATTTATTTTTCTTTATATTTCATATTTACTTTACATATTTTGCATTCTATTATAGTATTGTAAACAATTTTATATGAATATTTTTGGGTTGTGGAATAAACCATCTGGGTTTCCATTATTTTTTAAGGGGAAATTTGCTTTGATATGCAAGTGCTTTGGATTACAAGCATGTGAACAGAACAAATTACGCCCACAAACTAAGATTTTACAGTACTTGCTACTAAATTTAAAAGAATATGCATTTATAAATATGTGTGTATACAGATATGTACGTGTACGCATAAGGGTAGATGGACTGATTTCCACAGAAGACTGAAGGATTCAATTTTAGGGTAAACAGAGTTTATTGAATTTAGACTGGTCACTGCACATCCCGGACTAGGAGGTCGGGAAATGACGGTGCTATTCTTGTTTTAACTTTAAGTACTCTTTTGGTTTCCATGGTAACAGAATGGAATGTTACAGCCTTGACTCAGGCGTCCACATGTTGTTTTCCTTGTCCCGTGTGGCCGGATCAGGTTGCCGGTCATGAGCCCAACCGTTATGATATATGCTTCCTGATATCTGTTCTGTTTGTTCCCCTTTTTACACCTGTATATTCCTTCAGGGTTGCAATGTTTAACTAGGGCCAGGGAAGGGATGAAACAACCCAGGCAGGGTCACAGATGATTATCTGGACCCGGGTGCTCTTTATCTTTGGAGAAGCATTCCAGGTTAAAGTTAACTGCAAAGTTAACTTGTTACATCCCCTCTGAGATGTTTCTCAAGGCACATTTTGAGGCTTGTACTAAAAACTATTCTACCTTAAAAATGGTATGCTAAGAGTCACCATCCCCTACATACAGAACTACATATATACACGTAGTCAAACACACATATGCAATTAAATCTTACACACTTGTTTATTTTTATCTCTTTATCTGGCTGTTTCATCCACATCGTGGCGAATACTTTGGGAGCTTGTATGTGCCATCTCCAGTCTACCTCTACTCCCTCCTCTAGAAGACCCAGGTGATTCCCTGCTCTTCCTCCTCCTGCCTTATTCCCACCTTTGCCCTTCTGTGCCTGTGTTTATGTTTTGCCCTCTCGAAAACTAATCCTCTTCCATCAAGCAGTTTAGTGCCATTTTTAAAATATCTGTCAGAATTTTATGCTTCCCTGACCTAATATTAATGCCAACCACTTTGTAAACAGCTCTAATAGTTGATTATTTTGTTTTATTTTTATGAATTTAGAAACTTCTTTAGGAACGATTTTCTATGACCAATATAAATATGTTTCTGCATTCTTCCCAATATAACCATAAATTTTAATTCTCTTAAAACCAGATCAACTTGTACACATACTGCACATATGCACAGACATACACCTCCCCGACAGTTAGCATCTTTTCTTTATTTTCTTCCACCTTATCTAAAAAGAAGTTCTTCCAAAATTCTCTTTGTTGTTTGTCCCTGTTACAAAGTCAGCTGACAACTTCTGCTTTCGGTGGTGTTTAGGAGACATTTAGACTTCACTTCAGAGTTAGCACTCTTTACTGCTCTGTTTTAAGGCAAGCATTGTCCTGGCATCGTAGGATAATGATGTAGATAACTGACGTAGATTTTCCCTATGTCATCCCTGGGTGACTCTTCCTTCCCAGTGAAAAGGGTGGAGGTGCCTCTGGTGTCAAGCACAGCGTGCGATGCCGCTGGGAATTCGTGCAGCACTACCTGATGGCGTGGGGCCTGTCCAGCCCAGGCCACATCTCTCTTCCAGCAGAACCTAGACGTTTTCACATGAAGGCTTCGTGAGTTTCCACAAGAATGTCTGCTTTCTCCTTCCTTGCTCGTGCCCCCAGTCTGCTGTGCCCTTCCAGGCTTCTGTTGGGCTGGGCATTTCACACACAGAAGGGACTGTCACATAAAGCTCTCCACACCCCACACTCACACAGAGCTCTCCACACCCCACACAGGCACACGTGCAAAGCAGAGGTGATGCAGGAGTTCCTGGCTGTGCCAAGGCCTGGACCCCCATGGTGGGGAGCATCTGCCATGGAACAGGGAGAGGGAGGTTTTCGTGTTGGTGCTGAGCACAGCTTTTCTTTCAGGAGTGCAGGTCACGATGCATTTCATCCTGTTGGTTTCTGTGACGTTGAGGCAAAATATCCCCTGCGTCCTCTTGTGAGTGTCAGTCAGTATCTGCGTTCAGGCCATGTTAACTCTGTTATGCATCACGTGTGCATTTTACTGGAGGGGGGCACACTGGCATTTTCATCTCTGAGAAACGAAAATTGAAATGTAGATGGCATCATTCTATACACAGTTTGAGGGGAAATTTCATTCTGAAGACAGGTTTAGATGGAAAACACAGGGTGCTGCTTTCTACAGTAACTGAGCCCCTACGAGACCAACCAAGTTGGAAACGTGACCTGCGTGGCAGAAACTGCATCTCTGATGCTCCACAGAGAGTGGTGCATGGCAAAGTGGACGGTGAGGTGCAGGAGGCTGCACATCTGCTCCAGAAGCAGGCGGGCCTGCAGCAGCCACCTCCTGAGAGGGCGGCCACCTGGCCATGGCAAGGCGCATCTCAGGATGTGAGCCCCTGCAAGTGTGCTAGGAACACCTCATCCCACCCGCTCTGCTCCTTCTGCGTTTCTCTCCACTTCCCAGCTTTCTGTACTCTAAACAGTGCTATGTCCTGATGTACAGCGTGAGGCAAAGCAGACATGAAAGACATAATATTGAAAGACTTAGCCGGGGACCTGAGCAAGCAGAAATCTCAGTGCAAGGGGCACTTTCTTCTGCATGAGGCATCAGTGCTGCACTAATTGTCACAAGCTACTAAGGATTTTCACTTAAGCTAAAAGAAAGAGAGTTGCACACTCTCCCTGCCTCACAGCGGTCATTGCTCCTGTGTGGAAGTGCCCCAGATGTATCTGATGTCGTCAGATGGTCTAAGGGTTGGGCAGGAGGTAGCACCTCACTTCAGTGCTGAAGGCAGGGACAGCAAGACCCCTAACTGAGGAGCGGAAGGGAAGCATTGGACTCTAGAGTTGACTTTAGCAAGTGGAAAAAACCCAGGCAAGCACTGGGAACCAAGTAAGCTCCCGCAGGGAATCCCACTGGTCACGCGGATGGGTATTTGTATCATTACAAGAGTGACTTATCTAAAAGAGTTGGGAAAAAAGTGAAATTGAGCAGAGAGGAGGAAGAGAGAGTGGCTTGGTCTCTCACCATCTGGGAAAACACACACGCATACCCTTCGGCAGTCTTTAAGTAAGAATCAATTTAGAGCTTCCTTTCAAGTTTTAACTTGAGGACGATTCCATAAAAGCTTTATTTAAAATCAGAATATCTGCTGAGATCAATTTTTGACAATTATATACCTTTTCAAAACAAGGACTCAGGGTTGTTTTTCACTGTAGTCCACTGCACGGAAGACTTATTATTCTAAATAGCAATGCAGCAATAATAACTGAGCGGATGCCGCTACGTGCTCTTAGGAACAAACAGTGTGTAGCAGGAAAAGAACTGAGGAGACTGATGTTTTGGTTTATTTTATTTTATTTCATACTTTGCCAGGATAATCTTAATATCCTTTTATTATTTATTGCTGTCTTAAATTTTTTTAAATGGCACTGGTGAGACTGTAATTATATTGAAAATGTGAAATATATCGCATGGCTCCCAGAAGGCCCAGGGATTAAGATTTCTTTATGCCTATGTGCACTCAAGGGAACTTCTGCTTGCATTCCTGTTGGGAGCTGAGAGAATCCATTGCCACCCCATTTTGCAGCTGTTTCTCTTCTGTCCTGACTGTGGCCGGGCCTTTCTATCTGTTCCTCTCTAGGATCTGAAACAAACGATAAATAAAAATTCGGAGATAAAGCTGATGATCTGACATGTTGTTCTTAATTTTAATTTTGTGCAGACTACTATGTTATATTTCTCCATGTTAAAAGCAAGTATGAGTTTATATGTGTGCTGCATTTTAGTACAGCTGTTTTGCACTTGACGTAGAACCCCATTATGACCTATGAGATACCACTCTCATAAAACATGAATCAAATTATGAGTGTATTGAAAAGAGCTTCTGTTCCGTGTGCAGTGGATTGTATCCAGTGCACCAGCGCTCTGTGTGCCCAAGTGGCTGAACTCAGCTTCCCCACAAATGTCCTCCACACGTGGAAAGGGAGGGTGGATGAGCACACACTGCACAGGGACAGCCAAGACTCCTGTGTTCTCCAGGAGACCCATCGCTGGACAGCCTGCGCCATGGCCGTGCTGGCCTCGATTCCCCTCTAAAACACAGGAGCTGTGTCAGACGGTCGTCAAGTTCTGTCCTCGCTCGATATTTCTGAGCTTCTCCTTAACACTTCCTGACCCCCCAGTTAACCACAGGGAACAAGGCGTTGTGTGCTGGTGTCCCCAGGTCCTACTGAGGAACCCAATGCACCGGAGATCGCCTTCACTGATGTAAGAGGACAGAGATGAGGTGGGGAAGGCTGATCCGTGCCCGAGGTCAGATCAAACCAAGGATGACGGAGGTTCTACCTCATTAGCTGTGTTTGACTCTCCTGCTTTGCTGCACCTGCAGCTGTGCTGTGGGGCGAATCAATAGGAAGTGTCCTTGCGTGGTGTTAGGATGGGTTTAACTGCCTGTGCTGCTTTTGTGATGTGAATTCCAAGAGCACAGGTGGAGAAGAAATCAGGAAAACGGGGGTTATCAAGTTTTCTTTTTATTTAATGAAAGATAAAACATTTTAGTCAAAGAATAAGATGATACCAATAGCGGTTACACTGCATATCATTATCTTCAAAATAGTCACTCCGTACAAGACATAAACCAGAGAGATTCTTATAGAAAAGAAAAAAGAAAAAAAACAGATAAAACACAGACTTTGTTTTCAATGAACCCAGATAAACTTTTTGTATAAATGAAACAAATTAGCATATATATTGAAATAGTTTTATTTTAACAAGAAGAGTTCAGTACCCTAAGTGTACATCTATTCATTTATTTACATACAGGATTATTATAAACAAGAGAATGAGTAAATGTAACCACCACCCAGAGTTATTATAACACAATATATAAGGGACTAGGTTAAGTCTCACAAACTACACAATAAATTCAAGACATTACGCACTAGCAGAGGCCTTGAAAGCCAAGACTGGTGGTGATTGCTCTGAACAGGGGCTTGTTGCATCTGTCTGTGACAGCGAGAAGGCTGCACGCAGAACCAAGATTTAGACAATGAAGAAAACAGCTGACACCAATTCTGTCACTCTACATACTGTGCATGTGTTAGTCTCAGTCTCACCAAATGGACTAACTTCTCTAACCTCAGCTGCAAAATGAGACTACTGTGATTCACGCTAGACCCCAATCCCTGACCATTAGCACTCTCTGCCCCTTCCTATACAGGAGGTCATGAGTGGACACAGAAGGGACATGACTAAGAGCTGGAAAAATTTCACCTGGGGCCACTTTTGGTGTCCACACATTCTGGACGTATTCTGCGTCCTGCAGAGCACACTGAGTTTAAAATCTCAATAATCTTCTTACTAAACACACAGACACACATGCAGACATGCACACATGCACTATTCTTCTTTTGCCATTAATACAGTTTCATAAACAACTCACTGATAATTCAAGAATTCTCTGGAGAAGTTCACCAGTGTCTTGAGTTTTTTAGAAAAATTGATCATTTGAAGTAAACTTGATTCAAACCTCTGCTCTACAGTCACAAGTCCGCATTTTTCCATGGGATTTCAAATGAGAGAGGATTTGGAAGGAAAGAGCATTTGGTTGCACAGGCTCTGTTCATTTATTCTGCTGGTCACAGTGCGTCAGGGATTTTCCGGGGTGTTTCAGTAAATTCATAGCTCCTGCAGTGTAGATGCCAGGCTGACCTAGGATTGGACGCTGATGGCTCAGCTGCCACTCAGGAACCGAGATATATTTTTGTTAACTAATCTTTGGAGTTCAAAGATGGACATTTTTAAACTGCCCTGGACTAGTCCAGAAATATGGACGGTATGCTTTACTATGTGACTCTTGTGAAAATAAATCTTCTGCTACTGAAAGTGGATGGCCCTCCCCAGAGCTCCCGGGCAAGGTGGAATTCGGAATCAAGGATTTGATGGATTCCCTTTGCATCTGGGCGGAATCAGATGGAGCAGTTGCCATCAATCCATTAGAGGTCAATGCCAGGTGCAGGATGTCCTGTCATGCGCTGAAGTGGGAGAAAAGTCTAAAAAAAAAATAGATAAGGAAATGAAATGCATGCATTTCAATAGTTTTATCTCTACAAAAGAACAATTTAAGCTAGTCATCATAGCTAAATGTGCTTTTAGCATTTCAATTCAAAAGGCGTGGACTAGCTAAATAATTTAAGCTGAATTTGATTTTTCCATTCTCTTCCCGTGCACTATTGGGTATCTCCTGCTGTCCATCCTGACTAGTCAGATAACAAAGCTCAAGGTCTAAATAAAAATCCGGTCTTCGGGTTTTTCACCTCAATACAAATAGTGCCCGATTATCCTGGGCCTGCAGCAGAGTGAGGTGGATCTGAGCAATGAAGAGGCACCTTCTGGTCCAGGTGTGCGGGAACTGAGGGGGGATGACCCATGGGGTCTCTCAGGGTGGGCTTTGTGAGCACTCAGGCTCTGGCAAGACAAGAAATGACAGAGGAGGACACAGTCAGTTCTGGAGTAATCAGGATTGAAGGGCAATTTTGAAGAGCTGACTATGGCAGAAACTGTCCAATGTTTTATGGCTTTCCTTAGGCAAATGGAGCCAATTTTGACATAAAACATCAGTGAAGCATTGGAATACAGAGCAGTCAGGAGGGGTAGGCGAGGCAGGGTGAGACAAAATTCATCCAAAGCATACGCACTGCTTGTCCGCTAGAAGAGAAGGGGGCTTGAAGCCTGTTGGCTCCCCAGTTTCCACCTCACAAGTTTCTCACCAGAATTTAACTGGCCTCATCCGTCTGCAGTTACTTGTTTTGTGCTCATGGTTGTCCTTGAGAGTGTGCAGGGCTGATCTTGTTTTCGTCTATGGATATCTTTGCCAGATCACATCATAGAGCTTACAAGGTTGTCTCTAGTATTCATGTTTATGTTTCCCTGATTGGCTGAAACCAGAATCTGAATCATAACATGGAAATGGTGTTTCAAGCCAACTGTTTGCCTGGATGGTTAATCATGTTAATCAGTTCTTTTTTTTTTTTTTTTTTAACACAGGATACCTAACAGATTAGAATGGTAAAGGTAAATTCATCTCCTCCTATCTATCTGAGCATACTACTATGCCACAGTAATGCTCTCTGTTTAATATTCAATATAAAGAAAATATTGGTACTTTTTATATTTATCCAAAACATACCCTTTGCAAAGTACATTGGTTATATTAAAAAAATGAGAATCAAAAAATATGTAACTGTTTTTGTGTATCTTACTATTTGCCCAAATCATTTAAAATGCTCAAGAATTATATTGGTAGGCACTACAACTTTAATATGTACTTAAAATTTATACTTTCTAGCATTTTAATAGTGTTCATTGTGTCAGTGAGTCATAGTTATCACAGTTAATGAATGAATGATAAATGAATTAATGAATTAATAAACATTATCTGATACCTTAGGTTTTTCAAAATAAAATTGGTAAAAATCAGAATGAGACTATTATAAGAAATGTTAGTAATCCATACTGAAAACTCTGTTCATGGTAGTTACTCAAAAGAGGAGCAGTCTATTTGGCTTATAGTTTCAGAGAGTTCATTCATGGTTGGTGGACTTGAAAGCACACACTGATGGTGGAAAGATGTGGAAGAGGATGACTACTCAGCACATGGCAGCCAGAAGAGGAGAGAAGTGAGGAGCTGATGACAAGAACACACACACCCCTGTTGGCCACATGACAGGGAGCCACTCCCTTCAAACAGGCCTTACCTCTTGCCAGCGTATTAAATTATGAACTCATTAATGAGTTAATCCACTGATGACTATAGTGCCATCATGATCCAATCACCTTCCAAAAGCTCCACCACCTCACCTGTGAGATTTTGGGGGACGCTTTAAATCTAAACCATAGCAGCCCCCAACCCCAATCCTCCTATGAGGTAGACAGTATAATAGCAGTAGGAAGGCGATGACTAGATTAGAAAAGACCACAGCGATGGACTGACTTTTAAACTTAATCTCTCTTTCAACTTCTCTTTATTATATTTTTCATTTCTTTTTTACTCTTTCTCTTTGCTTATTCTCTTTTTGAAAATTCCCTTTCTCAGAAACTCAGGGATTGTGATATATTTCACTGGCATATAGGTAAGCCAAAGGCATATTTCTTATTTTCTCTGAATAACCTAGCAGCTATATTCATCAAAGTCACACATCCTTTTGTAATATCTATAGTTTATCATAGACCATTAATCAGAGAGCATTGGGATTTAGAAGGACTAAGGTTATTGCATTTAGGAAGAATAAGGTTATATGACTCATACTGTCCAATTAAAGTATAGTCAAATTACCAGAAATTTCATAAAGCTAAATCTCAATCTGTAATTGATAATATGTGTGTACAGAATAGGCTTAGGTGCAATCCAGAGGAATCTGATAGCATGTGGAAAAAGACATTTTTTAGTTAGAGAAAGTACTGGGGACACACAATGATTTATTTATTGTTCGTTAGGATTTCTTAAGTCTCATTATACAGCCCGGACAGGCCTTGAGTTTATGATCCTCCTGCCTCAGCCTCCCAAATGCTGGGATTAAAGGCATGTGTCAGATTACATGTGGACAAGTATAGTTCTTTAATTATTCTTTCAGTGTATTGCCTCAGGCCTGATCAAGCCATGTGATTGTTTAGTTCTGGAGGGTGTCTAGCATTAGTGGGAAGGATAAGATTGCAAAACCTGTGTCCTTGTGGAAAGCCACAAGGTCAACACTAAATGCTTTACTGAGACATGCCTGAAGGAATGATAACATGATGGCTTACCTAGTCAAATCTCATACTTATGATAATTGAGCTGTATTATTCTTGCTAAAACGTTTGGTATCCCCCCATTTGTACTAGCTACTCCTTTGTTCTCGCTCAATAAAAGGTGACTGAGATTGGTAATCGAGGCTGCAGTCCAAGAGGCTGTAAACTCCCTCATTCCAGAATTATGCCTCTCTTATTTTTTTTTTTTTCTCTTGCTTTTCTTTTCATCCACAGGTACCTTTTTCTTGGGACCTGTCACCACTGGACAGAAATGGAATCTACATCCGACAATGGCAGCCATCTTAGATTTAACAGCCATTTTGTTTTTTTGCCAGAGGAATCTGATGGCAACCATCTTAGATGTAACAGCCATTTTGTCTTTTTGCATACCAGGTGAACCTGGGGTGCATTCCAAACTATAAGATAAAGTTATTAAGACACTTAGATGAACAAGTGTGTGTGCTAGCCACTGACATCCAATCTGCTCCCTAATTATGTAATTATAAACCAATAGTTTGTGAGAAAGCCCAGGTACATAGCTTAGGATGAGGTGATTCTTCAGTCTTATGATGGCCCCAGACAGGCTTTCATCTGTGAAACTCTGATAAATTGCTCTCTCTGTGCAATCCTGGATTTGTCTGCCTCTTTCTTCATCTTTTGGCAGTGTCCAAACATGGCAGATGGTTCTCCTATACTTTTCTTTTTCCAAAACATGATCACAAATGCATCACAGTTTAGTTTATTATAATTTGCCAGTACTCAGGTAGTGGAGCTTATTCCCCCAGGTGCATAAATGGATGCTGTTAGACCTCATGACTGTAATGTGAGACTGGCTTCTGAGTTCAAGATGAAGGCACAGATATGTGAGTCTTCATGGATGATAGAAATCACTCATTTGTGTTTACCTAGCAAGTGAGTACTAGCTGAAGAAACAGATGTCCCAGCAATGGGTTTGCAGCAATCCAACATCTAAGGAATTCTAAAGAACCCAAATACAGACCAAGGAGAAGTGGAAAGTGGGGAAGTAGTCAATGCTTAGTCTGTTTAACAGCGCACTCTATCCACCAGGACAAATAGAAGGTGCTGAGGGGTAATCAACTGTGAGAGGGGAACCCTGGTGAAGATCAGCAGGAAGAGGCCTGGGGGTGAGCACAGCCTTTGCCATGTGGGGCCCATGGTGGCCTGGTGATCTGGGTGGGACAGGGGATGGGCAGAAGCTGGCAAGGGTAAATGCAAATCAGGTGGAGCTTGTGGGTGAGAGGAATTTGAGACCTCAGGCATAGACGGGTTTCCTAAGATTTTCCACTATAGCAGGATGAATGAAGGAAGACAAAGAACAAAAGCATAGATTTTATGGTTAAATGAAATATTGGTTAAGAGAGCGGGGATTACTGCATGTTGGCTTCCTGATGGAAATGACCTGCTAAGAGGGGGAAATGATGATCCAAGAGATAAGGAAATTGAAGAGTGAATTACTTGAGGAGCAAGAGAGGATCTTATCCAGAGCACAAATGGAGATATTGACTTTCCCTACCATTTACAGAGTGATACACCTGACCCCAGGGGTTTGAGGTGCTTAACATGAGTGAGTTCCCAAGAAAACAATCCACCTCTGTTATTTGCAGAGATTATATATAGATTCTGTAGTGAAATACTTCTAAAGGTGATTATGGGTTCTATTGTCTAATTTGTCTTTGTTCTTAAATGGTTCAGGACCCCTACGATGAGCATAATGTAGTATGCATTATGCAGAATACACTGATGAGTTCTTTTTTTCTCTTTAAGTTATCTTACTAATAAATCATAGGCATTATTTTGCCTTCATGGATTCAGGAAATTTTCCATGGTATGAAATGCATTCATTAGCGGAGTTAGGAGTAGAAGCCACATCGTCCTTAGAGTACAGCAATTTCAATATAAAGAATTACTCATTACTTCCTGAGGACTAGATGCCAGGAGGAGATGAGGCAGAATGCAGAAAGATCACACAAAGCCAGCTGAGAAAGGCACTTCCCCAGTGCTGGGCTGGATCCTGAGTGGGAAGGGTGTGTGCGGTCTGCATTCTGCAAGGCGGGAAGGTGAGCATGTCCACTTACACTGGTTCACACATCCCTGATGTGTCCCCGAAACACTCTGACCCAACAGGCAGAATTGCTAAACTAGATGCCATTCTAGAGCTCAGGCAGGCTGAGGCTGGTTGAATTGGAATAACAGGCTGGCATAGGCCAGGGGAAAACTCTCTACCAAGGCAATACAGGCTGGCTTTGGAAAGTAGTGTGCCCAAGCAGTCAAGCTTGCTTTTTCAGAGAAGGTTTACAGCATGGGTGGGCTGGGATGGCCAGAAGGGATCTGGAAGCCACTGTGTGCTCTGACAGCAGAGCAGCACACAGGTACCCACCAACTGGGGGAAGCCTCCTGCCTCTGTCTCCCACGTCAGTATCCACCATCCACCAAGACAAATGCTCATTGCCTGTGACTCCAGCCCAGACTCTAGGGTGTCCACCAAGACCTAGAGATACTCAAGCATCTGACACCTCGGCACTGGCACTCGATTTATTTTTATTTACCTTCTTGATGTTGTCTTTTTCCTAACATCCAGTGTGGGAGATGAGGCTTATCAGGTTGATCCTAAACTTTTCAGTTGAGTAAATATTCTTGAAAGTTTTCAAAGCTGAGGTATTTTACTATATTTCCAGTAAAGAATTCTTTCCATAATGATTTTATTGAACATAAATTACTTGTTTAAGCAAGTCCTCTGTGGAAAACAAACAAATGAACAGCAGCAACAACAACAAAAAACAATATAAACTAGTTAGGAAGAGAATGTATGAAATACATGTTATCAACTCTATTGTAGACAAATCATTCTGATGATAACAGGACCTTGAGATCATGGTCAATAATGGCATCTTTTAAATAATTATTTCCTAGAAACTGAAAGATGTACAGTATGTTCACTTCTGGTTCAGTTAAGGTTTTATTTCATGTCTTAAGAATGGAACACAATATATTAACTTTTGATATATTGCATATATTTTCTCCATTTCCCAGACTTCCAAGCTCAGAAGAAGCACAGAACTGAGATGAAGAAGTTGAATAGGAAGAAAGAAAGAGTTAAAGGATAGGATATATTTTAGACAAAATAGGACAGAAAGTTTCATAGAAATATATTATTTCATGTGAATTGTGAAAACTCAGCAAGATAAAGACAAATTTCTGAGTCTGCCTATACTATTGCAATTTTTTTGTGCATGGAAACACATTTATTATACAAAATCCAAAAATACAAAGCCAAAACCATTCATGTGTATTGAGCTATATAATATGGCAGCAGTGAAAAAGATTATTTGCATACAGGTTAGAATAAACTCCTCTGAAGATATGCATTCTGTCACAGAATTCCAAGCATGTAGTAGCAGCAGGTTCTGCTCCTGGCTCTGATATTTCACTTGTTAAAAGAGGTGAGAGGGAGCGAGGCACATGTACAGGGTGTGCAGATCACAGCCTTCGCACTGGTGCACTGCGGCCATTCTGAAATTCCACTCTGCCTGTAGCATTCTACCACTGCTGTTGTTCCTTTGCTATGCACCGCCACATCAATTTTGTTGCTTAAAATGCCCTGAGAAGTATACTTTCACTTTTTAAACAACTTCAGCATCAAGACTTTCTAACTCCAGTTTCAATTTTGAAACATCTGCCCAAGTTTGCTAAGTCCTGCAACAATACTTGAACAGCTCTAAGCTTTTACTTTTTCAGAGTTCTCAGACTCTCCCTGGGGGCCACTCAGAACTCTTCTGTAATTACTTTTTGCTATCAAGGGACCTATAACAGCCAAAGACATAGTTGCTTATTCCAGGCGTTGTTTGGGTGGGTTGGCATGCTTTGTGGTGTTAAAAATATTCTCCCTCTCTTTGCAGAGAAAAATAGTTGGCTGACACAAGCAGTTAGTCACAATGATTTTCTGGAGAATTTTTAGAGTTCCAGAATTTTATCCTGCATTTGATTACCACTAACTGGAGAAATCGGGACAGGCTGCTTCGCTGGCCTTTCCATTTCGCTGGCCCCTCCCTTCAACCCGATGTCATTAACTGGGTGAGAGGTTGTGCTATTCTATACTCAGCATGAGGTGGATATATGAATTTTACGGAATAAAAACAAAAATCCCAAAGATTGAATCAGGTGTTGGTAATAAGTTCAAAATTCTATTTTTGTTGTGGAAGTGAAAAGATATATACCTAAACTTTTTTGTCCTGTTGGGTCAGAATATGCTTTTGCAAAAAGAGTTTGACTCTGATGCTTCTTTGAAAAATGTAGAATGATACTAACCTACACAATAAAAGTATTTTCTCTGAAGCCAGAAATAAAATGTACAAAACTATTTCATCAAAATATCTGCCAAATAAAAACTGAACTTCTTGATTTAAAACATGCATTTCTTTGATGGACTCGATGTTTTTAACTCTTCTTTTGAAATAACCCGAGACTTACAGAAAATAATCAAAAGCAATTCGGAGTTCACGTACAGGTTTAACCTAGCGTTGATAATGTCAAACATTTTAAATGGCCATAGAACCATGATTAAAAAACAAGTGTTTGATATTTGAATTTGATAGTTGATATTGTTACAGTTTATTCAAATTTCACTCCTTTTCCCTCTCGTCTACTTTTTCTGCTCGAGGATCCAGGTTAAGAACCCACAGGACACATCGTAAAATGCCTTACCCTCCTCAATCTCCTCGAGTAGGTGACGCTTACTTCTCTCTTCTCTCTCTCTCCCACTCCCACCTTTGGCTCCCCTCATTTGTGGGCAGCTGTGTTGGGGCTGGAGGGTCTTCTACGGCTCCTATGTTTTGAGGACGGTTGGTCGTTTATCCTGTGGAATGCCTCTTAGTTTAGCTTCGCGTGGTGCTTACTGACGCCAGCTAGTGTGCGCTGTTGTCCAGAGACTCATGACAGAGGCTTGTCTTTCCTGCGGTACCATCTCGAGGTGAAGCATGTGACTGGCTGCTGCTGTGCCTGGGTTGAGGTGCTGCTTTATTCTTTCTCTTGGGAGAAATATCTGTAGAGTCTACAGATACATTGGCGGTCTTCAGATGCGTGCCTTGTGATGCTAGCACCGAGCAGTGCATTTCCTTCGCAGTAATTATTACTATGTTTCAAGGGTATTTTCCATTTGTCTAACACTTGACAAACGTGATCTTTTTATTTATTTTTTAGGGATGCATGTTTATTTATTTTATTTCTGGATGAAGTCCAATATTTCTGCTATTTAATATGCTACTCAGTTTTTTTCCAGTGTTGAGTATTTGAAGCTTTCTCCAACATTTACCATGATTTGTTTGGTACCAGATATCCAGCTCTGGACCTTGCACTTGCCAGACAGGCACTGTGCCATTGAGCTATATCCCAGGCCCTCACGCTGATTTTCTTCCCACTTACTTCCACTTTTCCAGCCAATTCCTGACTGTGTGGTATTATAAGATATTCCACATTCATCTTTGCCACAAGTGATTCATTAGAAGCTCTTTCCTGATGCTGTGCTGTGATTGTATTTGATGTTGATTCTGTAAATATCCTGAACATACATTTACACATAAAATTTGAAATGAAAGTTAAATTGCTGTTAAAGTTTTCTCCTCTGTAAACTTCATAACAACTAGAATACTAGAAACTTATTTTGCCCTGCCAATAACTGTGAGACTGCTATTAAAGTTATCTGTCTTGATAATAACTTTAAGATTATTATTAAATTTAGCCTAAGGCTATGAATGTATTTAGACAGACAACCCAAGGAATAAAACTTCCGTGGCCTACCTAGCAAGCAGTGAACAAAAGAAAGTTACTAATTTTCCCAGGTTCCAAGATTAGAAAATTGGCAAAGATGATGAAATTAGTCATTTACCCACTCATTCACACAAGTGACTGGGGCACACAGAGAAGAAGAAAAAGGTCTCTGATCTCAGGAAAATGGAGCCATAATGCAGAACATACCAACTGGATTTTCATAAAATGAAACTGCAAGCTCTAAGGGTTAGCGATTACAACTAGAAGAGGGAACTCAGCACTGATGTCATTTATAGTCACATAAACATAATATACTTTGAGCTCCGGCACTAAGGGTCAGAGTGGTGTGGGGGCTGCGGGGCGGAGGGAGTGGGAGCCGGTTAGGTGGTGCACAGCCCAGCTTCATGACAGAAAGAGATCCGGTGACAGACAGTTGTGAAGGTTGTACAACACATGCAACACTGCAGAAGTGTACATTTAAAATCAATCAGGCAAACAATTTCATTTAAGGTGTTTTTTCTTACTTCATCAATAAGAAAAAAATGGAAATATTTATGAATCAAAGTATTTCAAAGTGTTGTACACTATAAATTATAAAATATTACTGAGAAAGATCAGAAGGAACCTAGTAAACCCAGAGACACATCACGTTCATGGGTCAGAAGACTGATAATAGCTGCAAAATCAATGTTTATAACCTGTTCTCTAAAACAATGTAATCTCAACCAAACTGTCAAGTTTGTGGAATATTGGAAAACTGACTTTTAAAATTGATATGGAAATGCAAAAGACCTAGAATATCCAGAATATCTTTGAAAAAGGAACAGAATGGGATTGTGGCCAGAAGGAGACTGAATGCCCCTCCCACCCCCAACTGAATAGCCTCTTGACTCTTGTTGTAGTCAGGGTTTGCAAGGTTTGATTTAATACGGGACACATCATTTGTAGGATTATTTTATAACAATCATCCGAAGAGTCAAGTGCAAGAGATCTGTCCATGCACTAGAGACCCAGGAGTCCAGCTGAGGGCCTGGAGCCCAGAGCAAAGTCCTGCACAAGTCCATCTGCAGGCCTAGAGCCCATGACGATGACTTATGTAAATCTGTGTCAAAGATCTGCACTGGGAAGGCCCAAAGGCCAGTGGTGGAAGCTAGAAAGTCTGTGCCAGAGGGATGAAGAACCTGTGCCAGCAGCTGAGAGATCTACACTGGAGACAAGAAGGGATGCCCCAGGTAAGGACCAGAGCTCCCCCAAAGAAAGCCACAGCCATTCTCAGCAATAGAAAGGACCAAAGCTCTTCCGATGATGAAAACAACTGAGTTCGGGAAAGCCAGCACAGCAGACTTCGGGAGAATCAACAGCACGCCATCTTTCCCTCAAGTTCTCCTTTTGTGCTGTTGGCGGCAATCCTCAGGTGGGCCTTCCACAGCCAGCACCATACTTGCTCAGTTCAACTGGTTGTTATAAGCTGACCAGTAGTTAATGTACCATAATTACAGACACACATACACACACACACACACACACACACACACACACACACACACCAAGCAAACAACTGCAGGACTGTCAGTGAGAAGTCCATGTAGATTTATTGAGTAGATTCAAAGAAGTGC